CGCACAAATACACTCAAACGCGCGCGCATGATGCATGCAGACAAGCGGAGTCAGGATAATGCTCGAAATTCTAGAGAGAGAGAAAGAGAGAAGGAGAGAGACAGAGATACAAATAATGTGTTCCGTCCGTTAAATTCGTGTAATACGTTGGGAAAATATAAAATTGAAATAGCGTCACTCTTGCTAAAATGGATGCACGAAATCGACGCAGCAACAATGTTGCTTGACGTGGTGAGCTTCTTGTTAGCAGAAGGGAGTAGAAAAATGCGGGCGCAACACTCGACATGCTCGAAAGCATGCACAAATAACAGTTATCGATCCTGTTTAACTCCGCATGCGAGATTTAGCGAAACAGAGTTCAGTCACTTTAGGAGGTGGGGGAATGATGGTGGTGGTGGGGATTCCATAAAGCTTATTTTTTCGACGAATACAAAAAAAATTTGGTAGCTGTGTAGCGGAGGTACAGCTGTATAAAAGGATTGTGTTACTATTTCGTTCTATTACTGTTTTTATACCGATGGCTGGCGCAGAGCCTTTCCTATACGCAAATGCGTGTCTACGTGAAAAACATCGCGTACAGAGAAAATCCATTTTCCGCATTTTCGGGACAAAGCGCACTTTGAGCGCAGACTCGATTTCGTATAGTGTTGTAATTTTTATGCGAGTGCCGCGCACGCGCACGCGCATCTCGCGCTTAATCTCGCCTATTAGCCGCTCCCGACGGACAGTGAGATTTCCGCAGCGCGTTGCGCAGGGAATTCATGTTGTGTCGTCGTCGAGCTATCGTTTTCGGGACCGGATCGATTTTGGTCCGAGCGGTTATGAATCGCCCCGAATAGAACGTCTATCTCGATTAAATTTATATTTGAAAGCCTCGTCCGGATCGATTCTCTGTAACGCCGGCGTTCGCGCGCGCGCGCGCGTGCGTTCGCGGTATAACTCGCGCAGATTTTACCGTCTCCAGCCGTAAATAATTTATCGACTCGCGCCAGTTCTCGACGTAAAAAAGCAATTCTCATAGAAAACGCCCTCCCTCCCTCCTTGCTCTTCCGGTAACGGTGCCGGCAATTAATTTCCACGAACGTTAAAGCGGTTTTGAAACCGCGCGTCATCCTTTTCTATGTACACACGTTCGTTCGTTCGTTCACTCGCTCGCGGTGCTTTACGTTCGACTTAACTTTTCGCGAATAGAGAGCAAGTAGAATGTCGCGGAACACGCGCGAGCACATTGAATCTACATTCGTTCCGCTTCTCCAATGCGTAAGACCACCTCCGCCGTGCCGCACGACCCGACCCGGCCGACCCGACCTTTCCTTCCGTTTCCCTCTCCTCACCATCTTGCTTTCTTCTCCTCTCCGTGCCCCGCGAACAGGGAAGAATCTCGTCGATGTGCTTTCGCGAACTCGCGTTCACGAGGAAAACGCCTTCCGATTGAATCCAGTTATGTAAAGGATGGCGTGAATTTTACGCGTCGGCTTTAGCCACGCCGCTGGGAATAACTTCGAGTCGGCGCGACCACCGCCGCATTCGACGAGCTTTTCCTGAATAAATTTCTAACGATTTACCCGCCGCCGCCACCGCAGCCACCGCGCAAATTCCCGATGGCAGCCACAATTTGAAAAATTTACGGATACGTCAACGATAGAACGGGTCTTGCAAGTGAAACGTGAAACAAATGGTGTTATCCTTATTATTTAACGAAGCAAATGCGAATTCGAAAGAGCAACTTCTCGAAAAATATCGAGGATTTCAGTGACTCTCGACCATGAGACATCTGAGCAAAGATTGTAACGAATGATGTGACAATGAATTATAGTGTATGTACGTGGAAAAAGTGTTGTAGTAAAAATTACGTTGAAATCATATTTCTTTTTATAATGTCTTTTATGTAATGCTGGATCATACTGAAATTGCAGTAAAAATTATTACACAAACAGTAAATTTGATGACCTGCCTGGTATACGAATAATATAAAAAAAGAACAGTATGTATTACGTACGGGAAAAATATAAAAAAAGATATAAAAAATAGAATATAAAAAGCTCAACCAATTACAATAATTTCATAGTAAAAGATTAAAAATGTGCATAACATTTTTAATCAAATATATGGTCATTTCAGTCGTATAATTCTCTGTCCAAGATTACAAAACTTCTGTTGTAATTTTTACTGCAATATTTTCTCCGTGTATATTAAGCTTCAATACAATTTTAGGTTCTTGTTCTGAACTCCGTCTTATTTAAAGTGCCTCTGAATGTGCTTATAAGCTAATCAGGAAGCTTATCAGTCACATTTAGAAGCACTTTTATCGATAAAACAAAGTTTCGAATAAGGACCTTAATATTTACTAGATTAAAAGTCTTTCTAGTTGTTTGCATCGTGTATGGACACGTGGATATATTACGACTGTCGATTATTCGGCTAATCTGTTATTTTGATAGCTTGATATGTGATATCACGTCATATTATGTTACAGATATTATGTTACAGTGTCAGTTCAGATAAAAGGACTATTGAACTTTGGTCTGGCAAATATCGAAGCTTTATTGAGATCTAACGTACGAAGGGGAACGTACGCGATATTGTTCGTAGTGTTTTAATGTTACACTCGTCTGGTCGTCTTATGTGGACGGACACGATCTTCCGGGATTGATCGCCGTCATCGTAGAGTCTTCACACGCGGAATCGATATTACGTCAAGTACGCACGTTTTTCCTTCCTCCTCCCCCCCCCCCCCCCC